AAGGAACTGCTTGCTGGCTGCTCGTTTCAGAAGCGTGCACAGCGCATATCAAAAGTCGTCAAATGTCAATCAACAAAGCAAAGCAACAATGATGCGATGCGGACGTTGACGATGAGGCTGACACTGAAGATGATGTGGATAAAGAGATGACGAATTTTGCAGCAAATTGCAAGTGCGTGCGTCCATTGTGCGCCAGTCAGTCAGTCAGTCAGTTGCGGCGCTCATAATCAAACTGAAAACAGCTACACATGTACATGTATAGATTCATATATACTCGTGCATCAGTTGTTAGTGAGTGCATGCCACAGAACACTTTGAAGTTCATTTTGTGCCAAAGTATCTACGTATGTACGTAGTTAGTTAGTAGATGGGCGGCTAATGGAAAAAAATATGATTTCCTATTGCAAGTGACAAGTGGCAATGGGAAAAAGTTGCTTGCTTATATGCAATAGCAATAATAGCAACAGCAACAAGGAGTTGCTGAATGAAATTAAAACCGAAAGGGTTGCCGGAGACAAACTGTCTGTTTATGTGCTTCAAAGAAAGTCTGTTATACTATATATTAAGAAAAGTATTTTTTTTATTTTTTGGATTTTTTTTTAAGGAATGAACAGAAAAAAAAACACAGCGTTAACGCGAAACTTCGCTGACAGTCGTTCAAACTCTGACACTGACAGTGACGCTGACAATATCAGCAGTAAGCATGCAGAGACACTACTTACACACATATAAACTTGCATTAAAGAAGCATGTACTCTGTGTCAGCGGAGGAGAGTGAAACTGTAGAAATCGAAATTAAATGACTTTGTCAACAAAGCTGAAGTTTTATTACTTACTCAGTTTTTCTACATACAAACTAATATATGTATTTGTAACTAACTGTATGTATGTATGTATGTATGTATATAGATTTTTTAGCAGCGAACTTCGGTAGGATGAGACTTTGTCAAGGATGAAAGTAATGTTTCTTATTTTTTAGCATAATTGCAATGATAATTGTCATATTGTAATTGTAGATAATGGAAATGGCAATGGCAATGGTAATGGTAATAATAAAAGTAATGGTAATTGCAATAGTAATGGTAACGGTAATTGTAATAGTAATGGTAATGGTAGTAGTCATAATATTGGTAATGGTAATTTATATGGTAATTGTAATGGTAACAGTAGTAGTAGTGGTAATAGTCATAGCAATGGTAATTGTAATGCCAATGGTAATGGAACTGATAATTGCAATGGCAATAATGACGGTATTGGTATTGGTAATGGTAATGATAGTGTCTATGGTAATGGTAATGGAAATAGTAATGATAATGGAAATGGTAATGGTAGTGGCTATGGTAATAGTAATGGTAATGGTAAATGGAAAGGATCGACAGGAAGACATGGGATCGTAGAGTTTAAATGCTGACCGGTAGGCTCAAAAATTATTTAAAGAACTAATAGGACACCAATAAATGTTTCAAAACCGAGGCAGGTTCCTGTAAATACGAAGAAGTAAATCTGGAATTCCATTTCAATGTCATTAAGAGGTGGCGCGATTGATGAAGAATCTCCTGCGACCAATGGTATACCGGCAGAGCTGTTCAAAGGCTGTATCGGAGAGCTGAGATAGGTAAAGACACACTCGAGGAAAGAAGCCTCAGTTTTCTTTAGCCCCCATACGGTGTGAAAGACTATAGACTTTCATGAGTCAACTAATGGGGCATTGTCTGTGTGGCTTCAGGCCTGGAAGTTCCACAATTGACCAGATTTTCTCAGTGTTAACTCCGGGAAAAGAACTAAAATAAGTAAATGGACATACACCACAATTTCTTCTTTTTTAAAGCCTCATTTCGTAGTGCGAAGAGAAGTTGCGTCTATGACGATATGTCAAAATTTTTACATACATGCTAAACTTATATATGTAGTTCCTCGTCCAAAGTGCCATTCGTTCCTTTTGCCCGCCTGCTGATTTTGTCCTGCCCGGCCTGCATGCAAATGTCGCATGTCTCAGAGTCTTGCCAATTTACTCATTCACTCAGAGTCACTCGCGCAACATCTTTCACACACAGGGGTGCATTAATGCAGACGTCATTGTTGACATTAGTAATTGTCATTCATCTGTTTCGCATTTCGCTTTTGCTTATTGCTTTTTATTAGTTCAGTTTTTACTGCACTTCTACATTAAAGCACTTAACCTTTCCTCGTTTTCTTCGGCCTTTTCTCCAACTTTACAACCGTGGAGAGTTAACATAAATTCTAATTTTTCAACAAAACTTTTGTTTTCGTTGCAGCTGTCATTTTAAATGTCTCTGTATTACAAACTATTCTACTGTCTGCTAAATTTAAGTTGCCTGCATTGAATGATGGATGGTCTATTTGTTTGCATGCATAAATGGCTGACGGTTCGTTCGGCTTGTTTGCTGGTTGGCTGCTCACAAGGAATGTGACGATTTTAATGGCAGTTTACTTATTTTTTTTTTGTGTTTAAGTTTTATTGTGTTTTTTAATTCTGTAATATCAAAGTATACATAGTAGACAATTTGACTTTTTGAACTTGGATATGTCTGGTTTATTACAGAAGCGATTGCTTAATGGACATTGTGGGAATGTGTTGATGTCGTGGATTACGATAATTTGTTAATGAAGATGGATGGGAATAAATGTCAAAGAATTATAATTCGGTAAATACGATTACGCAAGTCTTAAGCAGAATAATTCTTGATGAGAATATTTGCTTTTTTACAAAGAGCAAAGATTTGTTTTTCAAAGTTTAAATTCCTGAATAAGGAAATCCACACTGAGAAAATAGTTTAGTAATGTTAACTAAATACATGTTTTTCTTTCGACACATAACACATATATTTAGCTGACTCTTTTATCATTGCATATACTGAATAATAATGAAATGGTTATAGTAAAGTTTTTCCAACTTAAGGAGGCTTTTGTGATCGAAGGCATAAGTACAAATTATTTGCATACTATACTGAAATCAAAATTTACTCACTGCTAGCCCCACTGCTCTTGTTTTATTTACCATTTATAATGGTTAAAATCATATTTTACGTACAGTTTGCTTGATACATATTTTAAACATTTCCGTTTTTATGAAGCTTTCAGCTAGTCACCTAAACATGAAAAGCTTTTTTTACTTCCTGGGCACAAAACAGGTTTTGCTCCATCAGCTGCTAGAAGAAAACTTCCCTGACGGAAACTCAACAGAGGTGGTTGTTACTTCCCTCCAGTACTGCTGGAGTCAATCGCTACTTTTGAACCGCTACTGCACCGACTCCTAGGTAAGTAGCTACTCTATTAACCCGTGGTAGTGCACATGGTAGTGCAGAGTCGAACCAGTCGTAAGTAGAATAGCGAAAAACTACGACAGAGGGCGCGCATAAATCACGCAAGCGACTACTTTAGTAACTCCCGGTAGTGCAGAGAGAGCCGATGGTGACTACCGCCTAGGACATTGCCTTGTAAAAGTAATCGATGAATTACACTGCAAGTAGTCGGTCGGTAATTGACGGTGTTTATCAGGTAGCTACCGATTCAGCAGTCCTGTAGTCGCTCCCCCGTACTGCAGAGTTGGATTACTTTTCAATGGAGCAAACTGACTATCTTAATATTGGGATGTCCAAGGCAGTAGTCAACTGTCCGACTCTGCATGGCTTTTGACCGTTTTCCTAGTTTTTAAGAGCCTTGGAGGTTTTTTTAATCTTAGCACGTCGTTTAATCAATAAGCTACAAAATAACTTACTGGAAAATCTGTGAAGGACTTTGGCAGGACATGGAATTGACGCGATACGTTCGAGTTTGTCGATAAATATCGGTAATTTGATAAATATCGATACCTCCATGAATTTCAAAAACACTAAAATCCGATAATTCAACAGAAATCGATAACTCGACAAATTTCAATAGCTATCGATAATTGGGCGTTTCTAGGACTCGATGAATCTCGATAAACGAGAAATCGATATATCCTGATATAAATCGATACATCGAAAAAAACTCGATATATTTCGATAACTCTATATACTTTAGAAATTCCAAAATCATCTATTCGATAAACCGGAAAATTTCGGTAAATCAATAATTATCGATAACTCGATAAATGTCGTCATTCCAACTTGATAAATTCCATGGATTTGACAAATTTCAATAGTCCAATAAATTTGTGTAACTCGATAACGATCGGTAAATTTCGACAATTAAGTGTCTGTGTCTCTGTAAATTTCGACAACTCAATACACAATGATCGATTTCCGATAACTCAGTAAACATTGACAACTCGATGAATGTCGATTATTTTAAACTTCGATGGTTTGATAAATTTCGATAACTTTAAACTCCGATGGCTCGATTAATTTCGATAACTTCATAACCGAATTTTTGGTGACTGGATTTGTTTGATTCTTATAAAAAAATTTTCGGTAAATTTTCTTAATTCTTCTGTATTTCTCATTGCTTTAATTTTCATCTTTATCTTCAATTTTGCTTTCACTTTTTTATCAATTATTTCTTCATCATCATATTTATCTTTATCACAAAGTTTATTTATGCTATTAGTATGTATATAGCTTATGAAAAAGTTTCCCTCCAGCTTTGCGAAAGTCATCTAACTTTCTTAAAGAACTTTCGGGCTTTCTTCTGTCGGGCAGCTTCCTTTACTTCAGGGCTGTCTGCAGTTTTCAAGAAATGTCAGAAAAAATATATTTCATAATTTCTGTTGCTTGAAAATATGCTTTTTTAGAATTGTATATTACATAGTTAGTAACAGCAGCGCATAATGCTCGTTTTTCTTTAAGTTAATTTCTTAATTAAAGCAAACAAAAAATGCTTAGAAATAAGCCTTTTACTTATATGCTTTGTACATATGTATGGATGTACGTGTGTGGATACTTAAGTCTATGAACATATCGAAGCGAATATTTCATAGCCAACCAAACCAACCAAACATTTTCTTTTGCTTTAGTACTTTAGTAGACAACTCGCTGTGTTCATATTTACGCACAATTGACTTCAAGCCACAAACCTATTAAATGGATTTTCAACTTTGTATGCAGATATTACTAATTTCCAAACAATCCACCCATACGTAAATACATATGCATGTACATATGTAAGTATGCATGTAAGCCAAGAAGTATGAAAGTTTTCTAGACCAGAATAAGCGTACGACGGGCACGCAATGAAATAAAAAACCACACAGTGGGGTGTTGCAACTAACACCAGACTTGACACTCACCCTAGACGACGACATACTAAACACCATATACATATGTACACACAGAGCAATTTACTTACATACATACTTACATGTGTGTATAAACAACAAATGCGAAAAGTTTATGTAAGTGCAACAACTTATGGTATACATTACAGTTATGTGCGGCAATAAGCAAACGAAACAGACGATAATTACACGCCATTTCGACTTGTATGGCTTCTTAAGTACGCATGCAACATGGGGCGGTCGATACATAAAATGCGCAAAAGGACATGCAGCTACTTGTACGTACATATGTATGTATGTATGTGTGTATATTTGTACCTAAATAAGTAAGTATGCATGTGCGCTAAAGTAGTTTTTGATATGTTGCGAGTTTATGCCCGTTCGCATATGCTGTTTTGCAATTTTGCGCCACATGCGTCTAGACGTGCGTAGACGGCAGCAAATTCATGCAGTTGAATGAGCATTTTTGCTGCCTTAGTGCAAGATATGAGGCAAGTAAGTGTGAAAGAGGACTAAATATATGCTTTCTGCTAACTATTGCGCCCACTGCTTCACCCACACATAAGTGGCTGTCCGCAAAAATCAAATCGCTGTTAAGTCTGTAATCCATGTTTGGCCTTCAGCGCGCGCGGCGGTGAAGTGGTGGTGATTGAAGCAACATTAATTGATATCCTGTCGCGTCATTGTGGCCTGCGTCGTCGGCGACTTAGTTGGACTCAATAAAATATTAACAACCAATTAGTTGTGTCCATTTGTGCTGAACGAACGCAAAAATATGAAAATGTATTAAATGAATAGGCCATGGCCGGCAGTAAAACGGAAATGGCCAAAAGTGTTGTACAAATTCCGAATTAAGCAGATATTTGCCTGTGTTGCTACGTTGCGCTCTTGCGCATTCAAATCTGCCAACTGCCACATATGTATGTATGTACGTTAGGGTGGTGCAAACAAAGTAAAATCGGAATTAAAATGCTCTCACCACCGAGGATTGTTCTATACCCAAATTAAATGTACCCCTTTTTTATTTTGAAAAAAAAAGAAAAATATTTA